TGGCCTCGGGCGGGTGGCGGGGAGCGAGGGGCGATGGAGCCGGTCCCGGCGCCTTCGCCTCTCCCCTGGACGCGGCGGAGCCGGGACGGACCGGGCGGGAGGGCGCAGAACCTGGCCGGGGGCCGTGTGGGGCGGCTGCGGTGGCCGAGCTGGGTGGCGAAGCGGGGGTGCGTGACTAAACGTGTTGGTTGTGTTTGGACTCTCCTTCTGTCCCAGCAGGTGATGGGAGCATGAGTGAAAATGAGGGGGATCTCCAGCGAGATGGGCTGGAGGCAGCCGAACCCTGCGGGGCCATTTCGGACTTTTTCGTGAGGGAAGCTTCTCCTGCGGGCTGCGGCCAGGAAGCGTCCCGTCCGAGGCCAGGCCTTCTCTCCCCAGAGACGGGGCTGGAGAAGAGTTCTCGCTGTGGTTTTCGCAAGCGGAAGGAGACAGTGGTGCACCAGCGAGCATTCATGGGAGAGAAGCCCTACATCTGCATCGAGTGCGGGCAGAGCTTCAACCGCAGCTCCGACCTGATCCGCCACCAGAGGATCCACACCGGGGAGAAGCCGTACATGTGTGCCGACTGTGGCAAGAGCTTCAGCCGACGCTCCCACCTCATCCAGCACCAGCGCGTCCACACGGGTGAGCGGCCGTACCAATGCAAGGACTGCGGGAAGAGCTTCAGCCAGAGCACCCACCTGGTGCAGCACCAGCGCAACCACACTGGCGAGAGGCCTTATGTCTGTGCCAAGTGTGGGAGGAACTTCTACCAGAACTCGGGCCTGCTCCGCCACGCCAACTTTCACACGGGCGAGAAACCCTACAAGTGCCCCCAGTGCGGGAAGCGCTTCAGTGACAGTTCCAACCTCATTGCCCACCAGCGGCTCCACACGGGCGAGAAGCCCTACAAGTGTGCTGACTGCAACAAGTGCTTCAGTGAGAGCTCTAAGCTGGTCATCCACCGGCGCGTCCACACAGGTGAGAAGCCATATTTGTGCCCTGACTGTGGAAAGAGTTTCAGCCAGCGCTCGCACCTTGTCCAGCACCGTCGCACCCACACTGGGGAGAAGCCCTACAAGTGTGCTGAGTGTGGGACCTGCTTCAGTGACAACTCTACCCTCATCCGTCACCGTCGTACCCACACTGGGGAGAAACCTTTCAAGTGCTCCCACTGTGGGAAGAGCTTCAGTCGCAACTCCTACTTAGTCTCACACCAGCGGGTGCACGTGTGGTAGGCAGCGTCACTAGGTGTGCTCTGGGGGTGATCTAGGATGCAGCTCCTGGTCCAGGCCTGTCCAACATGTGCTTAAGGGACAAGGGGGTGGGCAAGGGTGCGACTATACCAGAGTCCCTGGATTATAGGCAGCTGGCCAGAGTAATGCCTTTGGCCCATGTTGCCCTTTTCATTCACCTCGTCCTCCCAGCGCACCTCGGGCATGGACGGAAAGTGAGCAGTGTTTGCGGTGGGTAGTTCTGCATCCCAAGGCCCTGTCATCCTCTTTCCCCGGTACTAGAATCAGATGCCATCTGCCATGTGGCCAAGGTGCAGGTGTTTTCTCCCACCTTCCCATGAGAGGTGTCTGCCTGGGAGCCTGAGGAGAGAACGTGCAACGTTCATGGTCACGTGATGAGAAGCTGCTTCGTCACGCAACAAATGCACGTGTGGTTTTGTCAAGGGAAATAAGATGGGAGATGGGGTCCTTAAGGGGCTTTGTTCCACTTGCAGCTGAAATGTTGTGACCTGGATAATGCACAGGTCTATGGAAGCTCACCAGGCTCGTGGTCTAAGCCAGCTCTGTGTCTCGTACAGGACTCAGAAAGGTCAAAGCTAAGTAAGTCCTGCTGAGGAGCTGGAGACTGTGTTATGCGTATACAGCATATGGGCCAACTTGAAGCACAGGCAAAGACCACTTGAGTCTGCTTGTGAAAGGAACATGTGGGCATACCCTGAACCAGAGAAGCAAGGCATGCCTGCAAAGGTTTTCTGCAAGTACTGCTTGGATGGTGGCAACGAGGGAGCTGCAGGATAGGGACATGGCCTGTTCTGGAATCTCAGAACTGGTGGGTAACTGATGTAGAAAACTATCATACCTGGAGACTTAAAAATAATCATAATTATACTTGCTGCTGCTCAGACTGTGGTACGCAACTTGACAGGTATATGGAGGTCGCCTGTAAGTTTGTACTGGTAGCCTCCTCTTTCTGCAGAATTTGGTTTCACAGATACGGTTCAAGTGGGCTGGTGTAAGCTGTGTTGCAAAATGGGACAGAACAACAGTGTACTAGGACCGACCTGATTCCATAGCAGTATTTCTCAAGTCCCATTTTGACCAGTGTGTGTGTGCGTGTGTGTAAATAACATTTCTATGTATTCGTATACGTATGAACTGGCTTTTATACTAAGTGTATCTTCACGCTCATGTGAGCGATCATGCGTGCACAAACCATGACAGTGGTCAAAATGGCCTGCTGTGTGATGCTATACCGTACTTCTCAAAACGCTAAACATACTGTATATATTAGCATTTCTCAGTAAGAAGCTGGGAGAAATAGGTTTTGTACCAAAACATCTGAATTTTCACATCAGGACATTCAGTTTTACACTGATTACTTTGTGTGTGTGTGTATAAGATCTGGAATTGAGTTGGTTTATTTATATATCTATATAAAAACGTGTGGCCCCTATGGTTGCGAGGAATGACTTCTAAATGCTACTCAGCATAGTGCTGTCCCCCTCGTTTTACACAGGTACATATCAGTGGCAGTTGTAGGATGTACCCCCCTCATGATTTTAACTACAAGGAATTGCAGTGCAACACTTTAGATTGTTTATATTTTTGACTGTTTTGCTGCTGATCATTTTAGTGACAATACCTGACTGGCGTGCTTACCCAGCACTGCTGGAGCTTAGAAAAGATTTCCGGTTTTGCAATGTACCTTACTAATCCTGCAACTGGCTCCATGGCTTCAGTAGGTCTCTGGAAAAACGAATGCAGACTGAAGCCAGTGAAAGGACTGGAGCTGTGATGGAGAAGAGATGAAGGAAATAAAGATGCTAAGATGATCCATGGACTTGAGCAGCTGCTGGCCAGGGATGCTTGTGAGAGGCTTGCTCTACAGAACTTGCTGCTCTCCAAGGGATTGCAGGGATCCTTTCTGCAAGCGCCAGCGACTTCTTGACACTCAACTGCTGATAAAATATTATGTTCATATAGTTTAATAAAAAGGAGCTGTAGGGAGAGCATGAATTTTTTTGCAGCTCCTAGAGGAACAAGGCACCTTTATGTGCAGCTGCTCAGGGAAGTAGAAGGAGCTTTCAGAAATGGGGTGGGCTTTGTTTACACAGGAACCAAAGCCTTCGTTTGCAAATGCACGTTTTTGCTTTAGCTTTGTGTTTGTTTGGTTGTTGTTGTTTTTTTTTTTCATGAACAGCTTCAAACCAATGACTTCTTGATTTCTATTGCACTTCTGAAAAGTGGTTAGGAAATGTGACTAATGGTCATCTAGTTGGTTCCAGAAGTGTCAAGATTTTCATTTGCTAGCAGACTTTCAGAAGGGATACTACAGCTCTCAGTTGGTAGGCTCATTTTTAACTGAATTCAAAGGTTATGCTGCAGTCCAGCTGTAGAACTGATCAATTTGTGTGGGTCTGACCCATTCTAGTTTAAGTTTCCTAAAGGAAATCTACAGCACTAAAACTACTAAAACTGTCTGGCTGAGAAGTCCTGCTTGTGAGGGAAAGGCATCTTGTGAATGCAACTTTTCTTTTGGCAATCTGAACGGAGCCGCTGTAGCAGATCAGTGAAATCGAACACAGGTCTGCAGATAGCTGAGCTCAACTCAAAGGGAAACCCTCTCACATCGAGATTCTGGTTTGAGAAGCCAGCTGCTGCTGAATATGCCTTTGCAGCAGTCCTCAGAGCATTTCTTTTCCTTTCTACATGCTTTGTGAAGTGCTGTGTATACGTAACAGTGTTCTATAAATTAAAAGGGTTGACGTGCATTCATTTCTAAAAGATCTTAATGAACTTATTTAAAACCGTATGCCAAATCAAAGTGGCCTTAGGGTTCACAGCACATTGCCAGTGCAGTAGTCTTAGCGGCTAGGATTGGATTGCTCACCAGTGTAAGCACATTTCTGGAGTTCCTTTCCACAGCCACTGTTCGTTTTCCCTGTTCAGTGTCACTTGGCTGAAATAATTCACTTCCCCTAGCCTGTCTGCCCTTTACTGTTTGTGATCGTCTAGCTGGAGAGGAGAATCTAGGCACCACCCTTCCTTTGCTGTTGCAGAAGTTGCAGGGTATGTTCCTCTTCTTCCAGGGATTTAATCGCTTTGTGGGCAGCACAAGCTTACAAGTCAAATTCAGAAGACAGAGGTATGGGCATGTGCAAAAAGTCAAGAACCAGGTGGTTTACTTTCACAGCAGCTAGCTCACTGGCTTCTCTACCAGCCATCTCCTCCCTCGGGATTATAGTGGGAGACTACTGGAAAAAGCAAAAGGTAATTAGCTACTGTCATTCCAGCAGACCATCCCTAGCGCACCATCCCAGACCTGTGGCACCAGCTGGTGCCCAGATCCTCCTGCCAGCTGAGGGAGCTCTGTAGAATACTGTAAATTCCTGTTGTGGTAATGGTGCTTAGATACTCCAGTGAGACTATGGCACTTTAGAAATACCTAAGATAGACAAATGGATGAATGACGTCTCTGAAATAAAATTTTTCACCCTAGTGTTCTTTGTTATCCCATCTTTTTTTCTTTCTTTCTCCCCAGAGTGACCTCCTGAGCATCAGTTTCTTGGCCCCTGGCAGGACCAGGTTTGGAAATACAGGTGTCATCCTTCACAGATGGATGACTGTTACTTAGCACAGCTGCTGTGCAATGCAAATAAGAATCCGGAGGTGAGGGATATTCTTGGAATTGGTCTTCATTTTCATCTAACATTTCTGCATGAATCTGAAAAGCCGGAGGATGGCACACAGTGCTCACCGTTCTTTTGCGAGAGAAAGTGGCAGAACCTTATTCTGCAGTGACACACCATCCTGCTGGTAGATGAACCTGGTTCTAGCAGAGCTGCAGCTGCAGAGATTATCTCCCCAGTTCTGTCACCTGGGTTGTATGGGTCCAGTTTTCCAGTCCCCTGCTGACAAAGTATACGTGATAGTGATGAAAACAAATTTATTTTGATCTTGGTCAAGAGGTATGTTTTATGTGTTTAATAAATTTTTAAAAGCATTTAATGCGTAATCTCCAAAGCAATTTTTGAGATATATCAAACAAAAGTGCCCTTGCATGCACAGAAAGCTGTGTTCTTTCTGGGCCTGTTTCTCCTTTAGCCCAGCAACGCTGGTCTGAATAGCCAGAGACACAACAGCAGGAGCCTCCATCTCTGAAAAAAAAAAAGGAAAATACGGGATATAGAAGGCCAGTGGCGTCCTGGCTTGTATCAGGAATAGTGTGGCCAGCAGGACCAGGGAGGTGATAGTGCCCCTGTACTCGGCACTGGTGAGGCCGCACCTCAAGTACTGTGTTCAGTTTTGGGCCCCTCACTACAAGAAGGACATCGAGGTGCTGGAGCGTGTCCAAAGAAGGGCAATGAAATTGGTGAAGGGTCCAGAGAACAAGTCTTATGAGGAGCGGCTGGGGGAACTGGGGTTGTTTAGTCTGGAGAAGTGGAGGCTGAGGGGAGACCTTATTGCTCTCTACAACTCCCTGAAAGGAGGCTGTAGCGAGGTGGGGGTCAGTCTCTTCTCCCAAGTAGCAAGCGATAGGACGAAAGGAAATGGCCTCAAGCTGCACCATGGGAGGTTTAGGTGGGATATTATGAAAAACTTCTTCACGGAAAGGGTAGTCAGGCACTGGAAGAGTCTGCCCAGGGAAGTGGTTGAGTCCCCATCCCTGGAGGTATTTAAAAGACGTGGTGCTTAGGGACATGGTTTAGTGGTGGACTTGGCAGTGCTAGGTTAACGGTTGGACTCAATGATCTTAAAGGTCTTTTCCAACCTTAACAATTCTATGATTTTATGATATTTGAGGAGATGGAGCAAACAGAAGCCAAAAGAGGCATCTGCCTTGCTGCTCATGCACTCATGTCCCAAGCTCTAAAGGGCCTTCAGCCAGATTTTTTAGGGGAAGCAAAATTTTCCTCTTTCTTCCTGAGGCTTGCTGTGGCGGTATCTGTAGCTGCAGATAGCTGACTCTGTGCCTGGGGGACATGTTGGGATGG